CTAAAATAAACATATATATGATATATATAGAATTAATTGGCTAAATAATAACCAATCACAGTGCCTTATAAAATCTATTTATTAAGACTCAAATATCAGATTTTCATATCTAAATACTGCAAGGTTTTGTCATTTTCAAGCTTTGAGAACAGGAATGTAATTTTGTTTACTGTCCAGGATTTGATAACACTGGACTCAATCATCTATTCCATGTTAACACAGGTTAAGGATTTATTTCACTAAATAAGACTAGAATTATAAGCTTCTAAAAAAAATTCTCTGTTAATAATCCTGGATTCATTATTAACTCTAACTACTATTCAGATACAAATTATACACTGGACCAGATAACTAAGGTTTGAATACAATGTACTCGTCGTCATTGGCAATTGTTAACTTTGGAATATCCTTCATCATGATATGTTGTTTCTATCTTTCTTCATCACAAACAGTTGTCTTGCACATTCAAGAGGATACATATTTTGTTGGTGAGAGCCAATATATTACTTGTAAATTTGAACTCTATAAAAATCGTGTTACCAAGGAACATTTAAAAATATACCGAAACTATATAAATATTCCTGTACGATATATATTTACCAGTTACGTAGCTATTGATGGAAACCGATACAACAACATATACCGATTAATGACACCAAGTCTCTCGGCATCTGACACTGGTTCATACAGATGTAACTATGAGAATACTCAATCACATGATTTTTCGTCGTCTCTGGAACAATACATTGAAGTTTGGCCAATTCCTCAGGATCCCATATGCCAAGCCTCTAAACAATACTACTTTGATATGTGAATCCACAGCTGCATATCCATCTCCTGAATTTAAATGGGACTCTGCATTTGAAAATTCTCACAACATAACTTTCATTGTAAAGGAACATATGGATGGTTCAGTTCATGTTTGTTTCATGACTGTACCCTCATGGGATTCGTCACAATTTACTTGTAAAGTCATTATTTCAATTAAGCATTATATTCAAGTTTCAATTAATGTCACTGATGTTACACATGGAAAGGCAGCAACACTTAAGTGTAATGTGAATAATAACACCACATCTGAGCTCAATTATACCTGGATATCAGACAGTAAGAGTTTGAGGGCAGAGTTAAACAGAATCCAAAACAATGGTTGCGATAATAGCAGTTGCAGCAATACCACCATAAATTGGCAAGTCAAGGAAGACAACAGGAACATTATAAGAATTGAGAATATAACAGCTGACATGATCAATGCTGTCATCACTTGTGAAGTTAAAGGGTTTAAAGCCGTTGGCAGCAATTCAATTACACTAAATGTCAATGGAACATCTACAAATGTATCTTCTAAAAGCCAGTCATCTCTAAAATATGCAACTACTGCGTATGTGAAAACAAGTGGCTCAATAACGATGCATCCATTACCATCAGAGCAATCACAGAAAGCCTTCAAATTGATTAATTTAATTGCTGTCATTTTTGTATCCATTTTGTTGACGATATTCTTGAGTTTTATTGCAGTTATTGGATACATGTACCATCATTTAAATGCATCCTTACATCAAGACCTTAAAGTTGGTACCATTCATGCTATTGACACTTATGAAAATGATTTCTACAATACAGTGCCATTGTCTGTCATTGCTCTTTTGACATCTGCCAGTAATCTCCATGATGTCACAGAGGACAAAGCAGAGGAAAATCCAGATTTCCACACATATTATGACATCAACACATGTTCTGATATCAATGATGGCACCTGACTGCTATGACTACAAATAAACATCAAGAAGAATGTACAGTAGAACCTTGGTTTTACTTACAGTACAGGACCGGAGAGTGTACGTAAATCGGACGATTCGTAAAATTGAGGTTGGGTTAAATTTTGTGGTAACTTTTGACCTAATATGTACATAACTCTCAATAAATGTATGATATGAACGAACAATGTTACCTAGGCTAGACCTAGCCTCTAGGCCTACGAATAAAACTAAGAGTTTAGTGTTTTTATTCATCACTTTACAATGTCATAATAAAGTGTTCAAATAAAACCATGTGTCTAGTGTATTAATTCATCACTTTATCCCAGGTAAAAATTCCAGTTAGACCAGTTGGAACTGGAACCAGTTGCAGGTTGTGTTTTTGGACAATTCAACTG